TTAAGCAATATACTAACTCTTAATGGTTCAGATCTCGTACTGGTTCAACACTTAGGGGCTGTTTGGCAACTTCTGAATCGGTAAGTGCTGAACCAGTAAGAGGTCTGAATCATTAAGTGCTGAACCAGTAAGAGGTCTGAACCATTAAGAGCTAGTATATTGCTTAACTATTCAGAGGCAAATGTCTGATCAATTCAGATAACAGCTCTTAACCATTCAGACTCTGTATAATACTTAACCATTCAGAGGCAAATCTCTTAACCATTCAGACATCTGAACCATTAAGAGGCTGAAACAAACAGTCTGAATCATTAAGTGCTGAATCATTCAGACATCTGAACCATTAAGAGGCTGAAACAAACAGCCCCTTAATGGTTCAGACTTCTTACTGGTTCAGCACTTACCTATTCAGAAGTTGTCAAACAGCCCTTTAGTGGCAGAATTTGTAGGAGAGGATGATCGATGTATAACATGTTGTCAATTTATTATCACAATAAAAATCACTCGGGAGTTCATTTCAAGGAGGCAAAAAAAGATACATCTATCATCATAATGTTTTAATGTCAAATACTTATATATATATTTGTACTCTATATATAGATGGCCGCCTATCCTAAAATTAAATAGCACCCGTTACCTAGCTTGTAGGAATTACAAATTAATGAATAAAATAGACATGCACTTTTATCACAACCCAAACACCACTCCAACTAAAATTTAAGATTAAAAAGAGAGAAAAAAAAAAGGTATATTATATTCCATAATGATGCATCTTCATCCACTGCCTCCTTCTCCCTTACAAACCTGCAACATTCTTCCCCAATCTCTCTCTTAATATCTTCACTCCCATGTATCTGCATCACCACACCATGGAACAATGAATCATAATGCAAATTTAAATGTGAGTGATTAGTTTTTATTTGAAATTGTTGTTTTAAAAATAAGAAATATTTGCACTAAATAAAAATAAAATTTAAGTGATTTCCCTAAATAGCACTTAATAATGTCCAGAAGGAGGAATAATGTCCAGTGATGGCAAACATTTACTTGAATAATGATTAATGGATAATGATAAAAGTACTACATCGGGAAAAAAAACTCATGTGATGTTATTTAGGGAAAGTTATTACGTACCGGCCCATCATCATGAGAGTGGCTTGAGGATTTGTGCCTGGGGACTGAGAAAGGACGGAGCTATCAACCACGCGAAGCCTATGGATGCGGAGAACCCGAAAATCGGGGGAGACGACTTTGCCGACGTGGCAGCCGCCGTGGTAGTGCCAAATGGTGACGACAGTGTCCTTGCAGAACTGCTCGACTGAGCGGGAGTCGTTGGTGTGTCTGGGTATCAAATTAACGTTAGCTCTGGCGCTCATCTTCAGCAGCCGGTCGGCCGTCTTCTTGTCGCACCCCGTGTAGTTTGCGAACCGTTTGGACTTGACGATCTTCTCGACGACCCGGATTCCGGCCACGCATTTCTTGAGGTCCTCCGGGTGGGCGAAGTAGTTGAATGTCACCGCCGGGTTGTCTTCCACGTTGGTGTTTTTTATCATCAGGTGTCCCTTTGACAACGGCTTTGCGATCTTTTCGAGTATGAAACCTCCTCTGAAGACTTCATGTGGGAGATTGTTCTTGTTTCTCTTGAAGGCTTCAATTGCTTCTTTGGTTCTTTGCTTTGGCGGAATTGTGGAGAGCTGTCCTATCTGCATACAATTAAAATATCTCTATCTATTAGAATATACAAATGCTTTTTTTAAAAAAATGGTATCAGAGCTCTATTGACTCAAACCTCGGCAGAAGTAATGCCGTGGTTGCAGTGAATGCTGTCGGGGGACTGCCCAAACCCGCTGCTGGCCTCAATGTAAACACCCATCTTAGTGATCCCCACCGTTTGTATGAGAGAGAAGGGGGCAGGGTGTTTCAATGGCACGAAGATGGTGTTCAGAGGGTTGTCAGCCATGCCTTTCCCTACGTTGTCATTCTCCAACACCACAGGAATCTTCAGTCCGTCCAGCTCCGAGCGGGGCCCAATCCCGCTCAGCAACAGGAGCTGCGGGCTCCCTATGGCCCCGCTCGTCAAGATCACCTCGCCCCCTTTCCTTCTGGAGAGGAAGGCCTCGTGCGGGTCCCCGTTTTCGTCACGGAACACGGCACCCACCGCCCTCGGCCTCTGCCCCGACGTGTCGAACGCGATCCTCTGGACGGTGGCGTACACCAGGACCTCGAGGTTCGCGGGGTTGGCGGAGGCGAGGAGCTCGGCGGCGGTGTGGCGGCGGCCGAAGCGGTCGAAGGTTGTTCCTCCGACCTTGGTGCCGTAGACGTGGTCGTAGGTGAAGCCGTTGAAGGGGGAAATGCCGGCTTCTAGAAGGCCGTCGGTGAAGGCTTGGTTCCATGACGTCAGCTTGGGCCTGTGGACTATGTGATTCTCTATCCATTGGTAGGATTCATTCACCAGCTTCGCCTCCCATCCTGCTCTCTTGATGTAACTGCATTTCATATAATGAATTTTCTTTAAATTTTAGATGCATACTACCCCTTAACAAATTAAGGGCATGAGTCATGAAAGAGAGAAATGATAAAGACAGGAGTCGTGAAACTTAGTCCGGGAGAAATAATTTAAGTTTTAAAATTTGAAACGAATCTATTTAGAGAGATTTAAAATCATGATTTAATTAGTGATAAGTGGGAGTGACCGACAACGAGGGTGGTTGACAGTGACAATGGTAGTTGGTGGTGGAGAATGCTCAACGATTAAAAGAGATGTCAAATCACCGTATTGACATCTCTCAAATTCAAAATATATCGAAATGTTCGATTTGGCGACCCCGACCTTAAGAAAGATGAATGTGTAAGAGCATCTCCAACCATATCATTTTAACTAGCTAAAAATTATAATATAACTAGTTAAACACTTTTGTTCTTCTCCAAAGGGTATGCTTTATTTTAGCAAGTTTGTCAAAAAATAACTTTGGTTTGC